TGGTATAGATTTATTTCTGCAATGGTATTGATATTTTTCAAAGTGGTAGTGTTTGTCTAATGGATTGGTACTGATTTCGTTTTTTTTTTTTTTTTTGCAGAAAGATTGAGAAAAATATGGAAAGGAAATCTGGCTGGGGATTACGGAAGTGAGAGAAAGAGAGAATTTTAATTAATAGATTTTTGTAACTACCTTAAATGTAATTTATTAAAAAATTAATTAATATAATTTATTTTTCCATACCCAATTTACCCTTAGTAACCATGGTGATTACTACTTTGTAGTAATCACCGTAACCCCTCCCTTCATTCCGGCCTTTGACAATGGACCCTGGTTCATATTAGAGAAAAAGTATAAAATACTTTTTCTATTTAATTAGAATTGGTTGTAATTAGTTGCTACCTATCCGTAGCCCACTTCTCACACTTCCTGTAAATTCTCCCACTCTCCTTGAAACTCTAAGCAACCTCAACTGTAACCGTGTATAAAGAAAAGCTGAATACAATGAGAAAATCAAGTTTTGATTCCAACTACATTCTCTTCCTTGCAATTCACTAAAATCTCACATGGTATCTGAGCCTAGCAACGATCAGCTAGTACCGATTCAGTTCCCCTCTATTCTTTGACTCTCTGTTCTCATCACAATGTCAGGCGATTCCGAAGTTACCAATACGACCTCTTCTGCAGAAATTCCAGCAATAGTCACCTTCAATCTTGCTGCCCAGCTTCCCCTGAAGCTTACTGCAACGAATCTCGCCTCCTGCGCTCACAGCTAGAGACTCTGCTCATGGGTCTGGATTTATTTGGATTCATCGATGGTACAGTGGTTGCTCCTTCTCCTAAAATCACGGCAGATGCCATTGTCAAATCAAATCCAGCTTATCAATACTGGTTTCGCCAAGATAAGCTCATACTCATGCTCTACGTTGCTCGATCTCTGAATCAATTTACTCTTTTATCTCTGCTGCCTCTACATCTCGTGCTGCTTGGTTAATCCTTGAAAAGCTCTATGCGAGCAGTGCTCAGTCCCGCATCATCCACTTGAAAACCAAATTAGCCAAAACCACCAAAGGAGAATGTGATGTTCTGACCTTTGTTAATGAACTCAAGAGCATAGCAGCTGAATTTGCTCTCATCGGCAAACCTATTTCCGACATAGATCTTGTTGTTTTTTTGTCTTCGTGGTTTGGGTGATGAATACAACGCCTTTGCAGCAGCTATTCGTGCTCGTGGCCCTGGTCTTAGTCCGGAAGATCTAGTTGATTCACTTGTTGAGTATGAATCCGACCTCAAGGTGCAATCGAAGACCTCTGTTCCCACAGCCTTCTTCACGCAGGGACAGAGGAACGGCGATGGCTACCAGGGCCATCTATTATTTGCCAATATTGCGAGCGTCCAGGGCGTTCTGTTCGTCAGTGTTTTATGTTATTTCCGCAGGCTCGTCAAACTTACCAAGCACGTCAATCTCAAGCTCATCATACCACTACTAATCGTGCGTCTCCTCCGAGTCCGTGGTTGCTCGATTCTGCGGCCTCTCATCATGTCACGTCTGATCTAGGCAATTTATCGCTTATTCTTATTACAATGGCCCCGATGAGATTCTTGTTGGTGATGGCACAGGTTTGAAAATTACGCATATCGGCTCTTCTACGCTGCACTCTTCATCATCTTCCTTTCAATTGCAAGATGTTTGTGTGCGCCTGCCATCAAGCGTAAACTTATTTCTGTTGCTAAGTTGTGTTGTACTAATCCCATTTCGGTGGAATTTTTTGCTGATTGTTTTGTTGTGAAGGATCTTCGCACGGGGGCGCCACTTCTGAAAGGGGCAAATAATGGAGATGTATATGAGTTACCCTGTGAGGTGGACAATGTTCGACTTGCTCTTGTCACCACCCGCACATCCTCTACGTCCTGGCATGCACGTCTTGGCCATCCATCCACCCACTCTCTCACCAGTCTCCTTCGTTCTCAATCTCTGCCAGTATCATCTTCTCTCGTCAGTAGTCATTGCAATTCTTGTCTCTCAAATAAAAGTCATAAACTCCCTTTTCCCATCTCCTCTTTATCAAGTACACGACCGTTTGATTTATTGTATACGGATGTTTGGGGCCGGCTCCGGTCTCCTCCATTGATGGTTTTCGTTATTATTTGATAATAGTTGATCATTTTTCCCGTTATACATGGTATTATCCTTTGAAAAATAAGTCTGACGTTCTTCAAGTGTTTCTTGATTTTCGCAAGATGGTTGAAAACTATTCTTCCACAAATTCTGCTCTACTCTTGCTAATCATGGTATTAGTCACCTTCTTACACCTCCCCATACTCCCGAGCATAATGGCCTTGCCGAACGCAAACATCGCCATCTTGTTGAAACTGGTATCACTCTTCTGCATCATGCTGATCTTCCTCTCAATTTTTGGTCTTTTGCTTTCTCCACCGCTACTTATCTCATTAATCGCCTCCCATTTTCTGCATTGCGTGGTCAAATTCCCTATACTGTGTTGTTGAATCTTGCTCCTAATTATCATAATTTGCGCTTTTTTGGTTGCCTATGCTATCCTTGGTTACGTCCATACTCACCTAATAAGCTTGAACCTCACTCTCGTCCTTGCTTATTCATTGGTTATTGTCCTCAACGCGGTGCTTATAGATGTTTTGACCCTCAATATCATCGAATTTTCTTGTCTCGTCATGTTGGTTTTGTAGAAAATTCCTTTCCCGGTTTTTCTACTTCTTCTTCTGCAGATTTCCCCTCACTGGCCTCGTGGATGCTTGACACAGGGCCTGCCATAACTCACATTCCACTCACTGGGCCTCGGCCCACTTCAGCACTTCGGCCCTCTTCAGCAGATGGCCCCTCCTGTGTGGACTCCAACGCGGCAGTACAATCAGCCCGCCCCACCAATGGGCCTGTGCTCCCTCCGTCTCCCGCCTGTGGGCCGCTCTCTTCCCCTGCTCAGCTGCCCACCACCATTGTTGGGCCGCCTGCCTAAGCTGCTGGGCCCGCCTCGTCTCACACTCCTTCAACTTCACCCGTTCCCAGCTCTTCCCAACCAGCTGGCCCACCTCCTCTTGTTCGTACACATCGTATGACTACTCGTGCCCAGCATGGGATATATAAGCCCAAAAGACTCTTCACAGCAGACTACACCACTCGGACTCCGCTCTTACAACCGCGATCCGTGAAGGAAGCAATGCAGTATTCTGAGTGGGATGCTGCTCTACGCAAGGAATACTCTGCCCTTCTTCAAAATCACACCTGGGATCTTGTTCCTCGCCAGCCCCATTACAATGTTATTGGTAATAAATGGGTGTACCGTATCAAACATCACTCTGATGGTTCTTTTCACTTATTCAAATGTCGGCTTGTTGCAAAAGGCTTTCTTCAACGCCCGGGTGTGGACTTCCATGATACTTTTAGCCCTGTCGTCAAGTCGGTTACGGTTCGTACTGTTTTCACCATTGCTCTCTCACAGAATTGGTCGATTAAGCAGTTCGATATCAACAATGCCTTTCTTCAAGGGCCTCTCGCGGATGAAGTCTATATGGTTCAGCCTCCTAGCTTTGTTGATCCTCAGCATCCTACTCATTTATGACGTCTTCGGCGTGCTATTTATGGCTTGCGTCAAGCACCACGCGCTTGGTACACCGCTCTCAGTTCCTTTCTTCTTGACTTTGGCTTCCGGAAGACACAATCTGATGCTTCATTATTTGTCTATCACTGTTCTGGTGCTATCATGTATTTCCTGGTCTATGTGGATGACCTTTTACTCACCGACAATGATGATGCCACGCTCTCTGCCTTCCAGATGGCTTTGGCCACCAAGTTTTCTCTCAAGGAACTAGGTGATGTCAATTATTTTTTGGGCATTGAGGTCATTCCGACCACCACAGGATACGTTCTCTCTCAGCACCAGTATATGACAGATATTCTCACCCGTTTTCATATGGTGGATGTCGCACCAGTTTCCACTCTGCTTGCCTCATCTGTGACTCTCTCTTTGAGTGATGGCTCCTCCCCCACCGATGCGACCCGGTATCGACAAGTTCTATGAGCGCTGCAGTATCTTGTGTACACTCGGCCTGACATCGCCTTTGCTGTCAATAAGCTCTCTCAATTCATGCATGCTCCTACGACCTATCATTGGCAATGTCTCAAACGCCTCCTCCACTACGTTTGTGGCACACTCTCCTATGGTCTTGCCATTCGGCGCACTTCTCTGCCCCTCAGTCTCACTGCCTTTGCTGATTCAGATTGGGCTGGCAATCTGGATGACTGCACCTCCACCTCTGCCTATCTGCTCTACTTCGGGCCCACTCTTATTTCTTGGTGATCTAAGAAACAACGAACGGTTGCTCGGTCTAGTACAGAGGCTGAATATCGGGCGATCGCCCATGCCACTACTGAGTTAGAATGGGTTCAAAATCTATTGACTGAACTCCATCAACCGCTGGCTTCTCCACCCACACTCTTCTCTGATAATCTGGGAGCCACCAACTTCAGCTCTAATCCGCTCTTTCATTCTCGCATGAAGCATTTAGCACTGGACTATCACTTCGTTCGACAACTTGTTCAAGACGGGCGCGTCACTGTTCGCTACATTCATACTGCTCAACAGCTTGCTGACACTCTCACCAAACCATTACCTGCTTTCCGTTTTCTTCTCCTGCGATCCAAGATTGGAGTTGTTGACACTACCTCCATCTTGCGGGGGTGTATTAAAGAAAAAGTATAAAATACTTTTTCTATTTAATTAGAATTGGTTGTAATTAGTTGCTACCTATCCGTAGCCCACTTCTCACACTTCCTGTAAATTCTCCCACTCTCCTTGAAACTCTGAACAACCTCTACTGTAACCGTGTATAAAGAAAAGCTGAATACAATGAGAAAATCAAGTTTTGATTCCAACTACATTCTCTTCCTTGCAATTCATTAAAATCTCACAGTTCATACTTCTCTTTCTTTCTGGAAGGCCATGATGATTTTACATGTTGAATTCCGGCATGTGTGTTCTTTATTTCGCAATAGGGAGAGTCGTCTCTATCATCATTCTGTCAATGGGAATGTCCCTCACAACTTCGAGGTTCTCAGTTGTTTTCAGAGAGCAACCATTTACAGCGGAAAGCTTGGTGAGAAACTCAATTACCAATCAAAGTTTTGTGGGTTTGGAATGGGAACGAAGTTGACTGTTCCTTCCACTTTCAGTTTATCTTAGATGAGCAATAATTGAGAAATCACTCTTAATTAGAAGGCTAGAAAAAGTAAAGGCAGTTGCATTTATTCGAGTCTCACACAGAGAAAAACAAGTAAGTTCTTTCACAAGAAGCTAACTAAATCCAAGGAAATGTACAATAAAGACATCAGTGAAAGGAAAGGGAAGCTTGAAAATTCCGCCAATGAGAGTATTTCACCTATATACATATTTCTGAATGCAAGTTTATCACGATCATCTGCGCTACCAGTAAAGGAATGCGTTACACCACCAGTAAACCTGAAAATTACACGAAGTATGTCACCTGCACCCAGACCTTGGTAACACAAACCCAGAATACAAAGACAATTACCAGATAAACTCTGTTTCTTATTAGTTTGAGCGAAATCAGTGGTTCAATTATATTAATTTAGGAGTTCGCACAAGCTTTATCTGCATTTAAGGGAAATGGAGCCATGGCTAGCAACCACCTCAATTAAGTGGCACAGTACCATTCAAGCAAAGCAGTAGTATTAGGTAACTAACCTGTCCTTGTAACGCTCCATGATCTCACAGAAGTCCTCGGCAGCTGCACGCATATGAAGGAAAATAGGCAGCTTTGTGGGATGTGCTAATTCAAACTGCTTCTCAAAATACCTAATTTATCAATGCATGCACTCTCTAATCACAATGGTTAGGTAAGGCATCAAAATGCATAGAATGACTTATCCAAAAGAACTTAACTTCTTTTGAATCTCAGCAGGGAAAAGGTGGAGCCGGTCATAGTCCAGTCCACACTCACCAACCGCCACAACCTTCCGGTGTTAAAATTCAACGAAAAATGTGGTCATGAAATTGTAGTAGCTACTAAAAATAGTACTCATAAACAAAAAACAAGCATTAATGCACAACGATGACACAATTTTGGATTTGGAATGCATATCAGCATGTACCAAGTCATGCTGGCATGCAACAGACTGACATCTAAAGAGTTAATAATTTCCACAACCTTATGGTTATAAACTCCAAAGCAGAAAATCAATTTTACCATGCAAAATCTCTCCTCTCTCAGGGATAAATTACTAACTACAGGTCAAGAAGAAAGTAACATATCAGACACTGTAACTAATACCAGCTGACAGTGCATGCCGGAAATGAGCAGAAAACAAGGTTGCATAGGATTTTGGACATACAGTTAAGATGTTTGTACTTTCTACACATCTACATGCATATGTATATAACTTACAATATCAGCAATATGGTATTGAGAAGCCATCTGCCCCAATCATCTTAATTATCAAAACAGAAACCAATATTTTGAGGTCAGGCTACAAATATTCAAGATCTCTTCATCAGCAAAACAAAACAAAAAACAGTATAGTGGATGTATGAAATTCGATGACAAGTATAAATGTGTGATTGTAGATGAGAGTTGAGACTAGAAACTAATACCTTTCCTTTCCGAATTCCTTCTTTGGCCAACGACAACAGAGCTTGGAAATGGTTCTCCGGATCCCCACTTTCTTCAAATTCCTGCATAAATCCGAGTGAATGGATGAGGGGGGAACATGAAGGCGGGGAAAGTGAACTTCTACGGTAAAGGAAATGCAGTAACTTGAAATCAACCTTGCATCTAGTAGGGTGCACACCAACAGTACAGAAACGCCTCCCTGTAAAAGGTAATGGAAATCAAAGTGCTGCAACCAATTCTCCAGAAAGAGCCTTCAATAAGCTTCAACAAAATAAGAAGAGACGAACCATCCGTCTCTGCAATTGCAAGAGCTTCCTTCGACTCCTCCAGAGACCCACCAGTTACCTGAAACCAGAAAACAAAGTACCAAAGTGCGAAAGCGCTCGCCTCAGAGAAGACAATAAGTTATTGCCCCGAAAGTTTTTTGCATTTCAAACTAACAGAAAAGACAAATTTTTTTTTTTCTTTTTATGATGCCAATCTTAGTAGATCTCACATTCTATCTATAGCTAATTTACGCCCTCCAAAGTGACTGGAAACAAGACCAACAGAAGAAACAGTAGGAAGCAAAATTTTCCTACTTGCAACGGAGAGATACTCAATAGCAAACATATTTGGAGATGACCATACAGAACAACTGAAATCAAATGCGAAGATCTTCATTCCAGATGACCTCACAGCATCAGAATCAAAGAATGAAGCTTTAAAGGAATTAACGAGCTGAAAGAAGCTACTGAAAGCGGGTCTCAGAAGGAAACTAACAATGATGCGTTCCAAGCCCGAGTCAGGACAGCAGGTATGTCAGCTACATGGTGTTGCTTGCCATTGTAGGTTCCTCTGAACATGCCATCTGACACAACATTCAAACATCACGCATTTGCTGAACTGAGCAAAGGATGAAATCACAGCTTGAAATGCTCAGCAAGTGCTTGATGAAATGACTGACCGACCTGTGAAGTTAACCGCAATATCTGTTCCAGAAACGAATTAAAGGAAGCGATCGTCAGTTAGGCGTTCTCATTGTATATATCGGAATTTGAATCATTGGTTGGAACTACAGTAAGACTTACCTATCATTCGTACAGTCACCATGGTGACTGCGGAAACGCAGTAAGAGAGACGGAAAGTAGCGCTTCCCCGATGCGTCTTCTCCAAAATCAAACGTTTCGTTCATCTCAGTTGCGACTTGCGAGAGCGACGGTCGATGGAACAGCGGGCCAAATTCCAGCTAGTTTGAGCCTGACTTGGTCCATAATCATGTTCAGGCCCATTTCTCATGTACCACACAATTTTTTTATTTTTTTCTCGTGACTTCTTCGATTTGGGTTGGTTAACTTGACATGTTTTTACTAAAGGTAAGATAGTCTAACGGTAAGTTATCGCGACAGTGAAGGATTGAAAGTTGCAGATCCCAGGTTCAAATCCAAGCGAGACTCATTGGTGTTCCCAAAGGTATAAGGCTGTTAGGGGAGAAGTCATGTTGGCATCGAATTGAATGCATGTGGGCCCCAAATTTAGTAAGACCCGATTTTACAAAGTGGCACGTGGGGCTGAGGTTCCTGGGTAATAAAAAAACTTGGCATGTTTTTTAGAAATGACAATGGGTAAACTCATTGAATAATTTGATCTCAATTGTCATGATACATATAAGGGTCGTTTGGATGAGTTGTTGTGTAACGAGTTAATATAAAAGTGGAATTCCTCACAAAATGAGAATGTGGTATCCCCTATGAAGTATTGACAATAACTCATTAATGAGTTATTTCAAATTAACTCAAGTACAAATAACTCACCACCTACTTTTATAGACAAATGCGTTATTTGCACCCAAATAAGTGAATAACTCAAAATGAGTTATGGTTTTGGCTGCAAATAACTCATACAAATAATTACTCATAAACATTTTTATGGTTTTGAATTTTGGTTGGATCTGGATCATATTTGGTCAATTTATTTGGATAGACTCAAATGAGTTTTTAGTAGAAAATGGCGTAGAAAGGCGCCCATAAAATTACTCAACTAAAATTCTGGGAGCTTGATTCCCCACCTGGTCATAAAGCAACCTGTAATTCTGCTGTTAGTTTGGAATGGAAAATAAATCAACCCCTAAGGATAAAGAATGACCCAACGGACGAAGCAAGAAAGTCTGCAATCATATTGGCTTTGCTGTAAACGTGCTCAAGTCACACTCACACCTCTCAGTTGCACTACAAAAGATTGTTCACTTCTAGTAGACGTATGATATTGATATAATATTGATATGATAGTAATATGATGTTGATATTATATCTTATGTTTGACAAAATATCTAAATGACATCATATCATTGTTATATCCTAAAATTATTACTATGGTAATGACAATATCATGACATGCTAATGGTATGATGTGCAACTAGTTTTGTCATAGTGATAAGATCATGATATGACAAATATGACAATGATAAGATTACAGCAAACAAGTGTTTTGAAAGATTTTTTTTTCTCAAAATATAGCAAATTGGATATCATTGTGTAGATCATAATTAATCCGTTCTTTCTATGTAAATTTTTATAAATACTAAGTTAAAATGAAGGAGAAATAACCAGATTAAAAAAATAGAAAAATAGAGAAATTAGATTTTGATTGGTCAAAAAAGCTTCCATCTTTACTCTGTGATCTGTGACAGGATGTCAGAAAAAAAGGCAGAAATATGAAATTACCAACCTACCCCTCTTTATACATTTCATTAGTGGTGGAACTTATTGCCTTTAGATGCAATTAAATAAATAGATATGGATGGAGTTTTGTAGTAGTTTTGCATATAGGGATTTTGTACCTACCATTTTCATTTGATATATTTTAAAGTGTATGTTTTCGATATTAACTATGGAATAGGTTCTATGATAGAGCTCCAAACGTCTATCATTCTAGTACAAAACCATTCACTACAAAACTTTATCTAACAATTATAATTTAGGAAGAAATGAATCAGTGGTTCATATTGTAAAGCGGCAAAGAGGGAAATTAAGGATTTAGGAGAGGCCTGAATGGATTTTTTTGGCGTTTGAGTGGATTTTGGGGCAGCGAGTGATTTCTAGGTGTGTTGTCTAGCACTTCTTAAATCTTGTTCAAAAATACAATGGATCATAGCTCATTTGTTTTTAATTATATTTAAAAAAATTACATAAAAATATCAATTTTTTGTGGCCTACAAGATGATATCCATTCTGATATTTTCTTACAAAAAATTTCAAAGTCATCATATATCACTATCATCTCACAATAAAATTACTGACATTGGTATGATATCATAATGGTACGATGTGCACTTAGTCATATTGAAGTGGTAAATCGTGATATGATAGATATGACAATGATAAGATTATAGCAAACAAGTGTTTTGAATGATTATTTTTTAATTATGAGTTAAAATATAAGATAAATAACTCAATTAAGAAAAACAGGAGATTAGAGAAAAGTAGACTGTGACTAGGGGTGCTCAAACGGATTGGTTACCGTGGTAACCATATTAACGGTAGTATTCGGTTAATTTAGTTTGGTTAATTTGGCTAATTGGTTTGGTTTGGTTAAACAATTTAGCTTATTTGGTTTAGGTGGTTTGGTTTGGTTTGGTATCAACACTGCTAACCAATGAAACTAATTAACCAATTAATGATACACCTAATATACAAAATTATTTATACTTCCATGCAACCAAGCAAACCAAACTTTCGTTATTCCCTATTTTATTTCCATGTGCACAACAAACCAAAACATTATGGATTAAAAATTAAATATGCCTGCCTATTTACTAAACCAAAACATTTTGGACAACTACTAGACTTTAGGATTACGTACAATACTATGACAGTCACATCAAACTATGTATAGTTTAAGTGTTTTGTAGGAGAGCTTTAACTTCCTAATGAGTGGTATTTGTATGTATTTAATATTTATGTTAAGGGTTTGTTGTAAGCTAACTATATTCGGTGCAGAGATGATGAATGATGTATTAACTCGAATGATGATGATAATCATGGATGGTTAGTCTTATTATTATTGCTTATATATAATGATAGGGGAGCAGATCCGGTGAATAACCTTGTGGTGAGTAATCTCATGCATAACCCAATAAGAATATGCCACATCAACTCCTCTTTCTCTCTCCTGGAAAAATCATTAATTTTCTTTCCCATAATTTTTAACGGGCGATTTCTCACTCGTTTTAACTCAGAATTTAATTTTTTTGCACAGTTAGATCAGATTAATTGTGTTCTTCAAAATGATATCCACTTTGATATTTTTTGGAACAAAAAAAATTTGCCAGTTATTACCAGTCAATACCATATGGTATTGACTGGTATTAAATAACAGCATACCATATGATATGAAAAATACCACCTCATACCAGGGTGGTATGGTATGGTATGGAGTTGGTAACGATTCAAAATTATATCCACTTTGATATTTTTTGGAACAAAAAAAAAATTTGCCAGTTATTACCAGTCAATACCATATGGTATTGACTGGTATTAAATAACAACAGACCATATGGTATGAAAAATACCACTTCATACCATGGTGGTATAGTATGGTATGGAGTTGGTAACGAGAGGTATGGAATTTTTTCCCGTAGAAAATTTTGAAATCCAATAGATCATGATTAAATCGTTCCTTTTGTGCAAAAATTTCCAAAAATGACTAAACAACGAAGGAGATACCATATGGTATGGAGTTGGTAACGAGAGGGATGAAAAAAAAAATTCTCAAAAAATATTGAAAATGGATATCATTTTGTAGAGCACAACGAACTCGTTCCATCTGTGCAAAAAAATTGAAATCCGAGTTAGAATGAAGAAGATATGATCCAATTAAGAAAACTAGGAAAAATAAATTCTTTTAATTCTCCATCCTTAGATCTGCAGTCACTTAAAAGAAGGGTCCAGATTTGGACATTTGGTTACTCATTGTTACTCACCCTAAGGTTACTCACCCAATCTTGAGCCTAATGATAGTAACAACATATGGTTATGTTTTATTCATTAACAGGATAATTGTTTGATGTAATATTATGTTATTTGGTTAATCCGATTATCCGATTAACGAAACCAATTCAACTTTGATTTTCGTGTTAATTTGGACGGTTTGGTTAAGACATTTTATTCCAAGGTTAATGAAATTTAGGCTTAATTTGTTTGGTTATTACCACAGTAACCATTTGAACACCCCTAACTGTGACGGGTCAAAAAAACCTTCCCTCATTCCTCTGAGATCCGTGACAGGCTGTTATTAAAAAAGCAGAAAAGGGAAATTATCCGCCCCGATGTTTATACCCTTCCTTATTCATGATAGGGTGAGTAACCTTAGGGTGAGTAATAATGAGTAACCAAATCTGGACCCTTCTTTTAAGTGGCTGCAGATCTAAGGGTGGAGAATTAAAGGAATTTATTTTCCCTAGTTTTCTTAATTGGATCATATCTTCTTCATTCTAACTCGGATTTCAATTTTTTTGCACAGATGGAATGAGTTCGTTGTGCTCTACAAAATGATATCCATTTTCAATATTTTTTGAGAATTTTTTTTTTTCATCCCTCTCGTTACCAACTCCATACCATATAGTATCTCCTTCGTTGTTTAGTCATTTTCGGAAATTTTTGCACAAAAGGAACAATTTAATCATGATCTATTGGATTTCAAAATTTTCTGGGGGAAAAAATTTCATACCTCTCGTTACCAACTCCATACCATACTATACCACCCTGGTATGAGGTGGTATTTTTCATATCATATGGTATGTTGTTATTTAATACCAGTCAATACCAAATTTTCTGGGGGAAAAAATTTTATACCTCTCGTTACCAACTCCATACCATACTATACCACCCTGGTATGAGGTGGTATTTTTCATACCATATGGTATGCTTTTATTTAATACCAGTCAATACCATGTGGTATTGACTGGTAATAACTGGCAAATTTTTTTTGTTCCAAAAATATCAAAGTGGATATCATTTTGAATCGTTACAAACTCCATACCATACTATACCACCCTGGTATGAGGTGCCATTTTTCATACCATATGGTATGCTATTATTTAATACCAGTCAATACCATATGGTATTGACTATACCCTATGGTATTGACTATACCATATGGTATTGACTGGTAATAACTGGCAAATTTTTTTTGTTCAAAAAAATATCAAAGTGAATATCCTTTTGAAGAGCACAATTAATCTGATCTAATTGTGCAAAAAAATTAAATTCAGAATTAAAACGAGTGAGAAATCGTCCATTAAAGATTAAGGGAAAGAAAATTAATGATTTTTCCAGGAGAGAAAAGGAGGCGCTGAT